GTTTGAGGTCTGGGAACCATTGCCTCTCAGACACTGAGGGATGACTGCCTTTCACCATATGGCCATTTTTTTAAAAATAGAAAAAGTCAAATGACCCCAAATCTAGAATAGCACCATCTGTAGACAGTTCACAGCACATTATACTGTTATATTCAGTAGTTGCCACATTGAAAAAGTAAGCAAGAACAGGATTGATCTGTTTTAATATACTTTAATTCTTTGTATCCAAATATAATTTTGACCTGCAATCAGTATAAAATCACTAATAAAACACTTTGTAGCCTTTTGCTAACTAGCAAGGCTTTGAAACTCAGGATTTATTTTATACTTGCAGCATGTCACAGTGGCTGACCTGCCTCCTGACTATCCTGCTGGAGATCATATGTCTGGGATCTGCATCCTTTGGGTTTGCTTTTGCTGACTCCAGACTGAGAACCAGATGAAAATACAATAATCTTCGTATGAGTTTCCAGACATTTTCTTTGAAACAGAATTTGGAAGGAAGGCCCTGGAGAGGTACAGGGGAAGGTGTGACTCCACCTCCCTCAGCTACAATGTGACAAGTGTAACACACCAGGCAAACCGTGCCACACTGCCCTTATTAATGCAGAAAAGTGTGACGGGCGAATTTTCAAGCAATCAGACGTAAAATAATGAACAGGGTTATAAGGAACCACACTTTGCAGTTGAATCAAATGGCTTTCCTCCTGCATTTCTGTTTAGAAGAGAGTTCTCTTCTTTTAACATTGAAAAAAAATGTGCTAAGAAAAAAATGCAAGAAAATTGGACCTGGTTAGTTTTTCAGAGAGGCATAGAAAGAATGAGATCTGGAGTCATACTTGGGAAGAGAACACACTGTGGTGTGTACTGTACCTTGGCAGGCCTTGGACCCTGGGCCTTGTCTTGCTTCATGAAGTGAATGGCTCCTTGCATGGATTTCCGTGGAGAAGTATCTGGGGGCATCGCCCTAGTTTAAGATGCAATGTTCATCTCTCTGCTGTTGTGGTCTAGGTCCACAGGCACTAGGAACTGTTGGTTTTTGGGAAATTCTTTTGGGTGTTGAATGAATGCATTCTTCCTATGGACCAACACTGGTGGTTCATCTACTCGTGCAAAAGGAGGATACAGCCCAGGGTTCCCAGGCAACAGTGGATCTGTGTTGCCATAATGTGGTTTGGGGTGGGCATTGTGTTGGTGGGTAGGTGGAGGTGAAGAAAGAACCAGGTTCCTGGTTGGGCTCTGCTAGCCCACCACTGGGGCAATATGAGAGATGCAGAAATTTGCTTGCTGTTTCCTCATCTGCACAGTGAAAGACAGGACCAACCATCACCGATGGCTCCCGCTCCACTTCCACTACAAGATTATTTTTTATGCGTGTTTTCCTCCCTGTAATTTAGCCATATATAGTAGCTCGGAAAACAAGTAAGTCTCTCCCAGAAGGGGTGGACAGTTTGAACTGTCCTCACTCCTTACAGATTTCTTCCCCCAGGTTTCCCATGATCAGTGTAAAGGAATGGCCAGTCCTTCCCTTCCCATTCTGCCATTTGTGGAAGCCGACACTTTGGCCTCTTAAGATGGTTCCTCTCCGTTCTGAATGTTCATGCAAAAGATAATGAGATAGCAACACATATCTCCCTATTAGTCTGTCTTCTGACCACTTCGGTCTTCCATGTTCCAAGGGTGCAGCTGATGCTATGTGTATTCAAGTGATTTTGTTTTTTTACACCATGTATTATATGGGTGTGTGTGCTTTGTCACCCACTATGGTATTTATGAACTCACTTAAAAATGACAACAAGAGGAACAACAAAAGTTCCAAACCCAAAATACCCTTCAGAGATCGTCCCCTCATGTGCATGTCAAGATCTTGAGTCTTTTTGTGGCTGTAGAATGCTCCAGGGTTGGAAATACTTATCTATACCTTTTATCTTCTGCTGTGACAGTGCTGATGTGAGAAGCCTGTACTTCCACCCTTTCCCACAGATTTAGTGTATCTGTAGGATTGTTGGGCCGGAGGGGGACTACTCCTTTTGGTAGGTAATGAGTGATTGTCATGTAGAAATGACCACCACCAGCAGCACACAGTGGGTGTGCCTCCTCCCACTGCAGCCGGTGCAACATGAAATCTGATCTTGATCTTGAAGGGCTATTAGGTTAAAAATGCCCTCTCTGTGTGACTTTAATTTGTTTTTCTGTTCCATGAGTGGGGCCTTACTCATCACTGAGTTATGAAACTCATCACTGAGTTCCTCATATTTCTGCTGAACTGTCACCCTAACCCTTGTGCATGGAGTCCAAAATAACACACTACCCCTTCCATAAAAGCCTGCATGCAGAGGGAAGAGCTCCTGCCACTTGCTGTTGCCTGGAGCCAAATGCTCTCTGTTGTCTCAGGTTCCCATGCCTGCTTGTAGCTCTGCTGTTGTTTGGTTTTCTGGCCAAGCCAAGCTGGTTTCTCCTGATCACTCCAGCTGTTTGCCTTTTGCTCTGATTGTGCTGTTTATGCCACTTTCAGCCTCTCCCTTACATTGTCCCCAGAAGAACTTCTCTTCACCCTTCAAAGCCCAAATGGAGTCCCATTTCTTCCATAAGCTGCTCTAGACCCTCTGTATGATGCTGATCTGCAATGGGTGTGTTTGTTGTTTGATTGGCGCACTAGCCCTTTTTCTTTCTTTCTTTCTTTCTTTCTTTCTTTCTTTCTTTTTTTTTTCCAGACAGGGTTTCTCTGTAGCTTTGGGGCCTGTCCTGGGACTTGCGTTGTAGACCATGCTGGCCTAAAAACTCACCTGTCTCTGCCTGCCAAGTGCTGGGTTTAAAGGTGTAAGCCATCACCACCTGGCTTTTTTTTTTTTTTTTAACTATTATTGACAGGTGTGCTTCCCTGATACAAGAATTCAGTTCTCTTCCACCTTTGCTTCTCCATGGCTCTAAATCAGAATGAAGAAAAGAGCCCCTTTTGAAAGACCAAAGTAGCTTTAATTTTTAAGGAATTACATGTACTTGTTTTGTTTGTTCATGAGCATGTGTACTATGGCATATGTGTCTGTTAGTCAGAGGAAAATTGTGTGTCAGTTCTTTCCTTCCGCCATGTAGGTTCTGGGATCGAACTCAGGTCGTCAGGCTTGGCAACAAGCGTCTCTACCTACTGAGCCATCTTGCCACCCCTTTCCCACACTTTTAAGACTAAGTGTCAGTCTGTACCCCTAGCTGGCTTGAAGCTAATTTTGCAGACCAACCTGGTCTTGAACTTGCAGGATCTTCCTGTCTCTGCCCTCTGAGTGCTGGGATTAGAGACATGCGTCATCACAGCTGGCAAAATGAAATGACTTTTCCTTTCAAATTGTGATCCAGTATTTATTTATAAAGCTTACTGTTTTGAAGCTTGGAGTTCAGTAGCGTTAAGTAAGCTTACATTGTGCACAGCCACCACCACTCTGTTTCCGGCACGTTCTCGTCACCCTGCAAAGAAACTCTTAGCATTAATCACCCATTCCCTCCTCCTAGACCTTGGCAATCACTCTTCTATTTTGTTCCCACGAGTCTGACTCCACTACCTTAAGTGCCTCATACAGTACTTCCTGTTTTGTGTTTGGCTTATTTCAGTAAGCATATCTTTAAGGTTCACCCACTTTATAGGATAGCAGAAGCCCATTCTGTTGCAGTGCACATAGATTACTCTTCGCATCACTAATGAACCTTGAGCTGCTTTTAGCTGTCAGGAAGAGTGTGGCAATGGATATCAGCATGTAACTATGTCCTAAGTTATTGCTTTCAACTTTTTGGGTATGCTTGGAAGAGGATTCATGGCTCTTATATTTTTAATTTAAAAACAAAGTGGCACCGGGCAGTGGTGGTACATGCTTTTAATCCCAGCACTCGGGAGGCAGAGGCAGAGGCAGAGGCAGGCAGATCTCTGTGAGTTTGAGACCAACCTGGTCTACAAGAGCTAGTTCCAGGACAGCTTACTGAGCCACAGAGAAACCCTGTCTCAACCACCCCCCCCAAAAAAGTGGCTTTAGTCTTTACCTTAGAAGCTGTCCCGTTTTCCACTGCCACCTGCAGTGCACAGGGATTCCAATTTCTCCACATCATTTTTAGTCCTACCCTCCCCCCCACCCCGCCATCATAGCCATCAACATGGGTGTGAAGTGGTCACAGTGACCTTACTTGCTTTGGACACCTGAATCACAAAGTCATGACAAAAAAAAAAAAAAAAAAGGTTCAGCTAGCCATAGTTTATTACCTCAAACTCACAACTTGCCTGGATTTTGTAACCAAGTTCCTCAAGTTTCTGGAAGAATGCACACAGTGAGAAGAGGGTTTGGATACTTAAAGAAACAACCAAGTGGCATACTGCTAGAATCTTTCTTGACACCTGTCACATCATGCCATGTCACATAGTGAAGAAATGGGACTAGGCTGCCATGGTCCAAGCTTGCCCTTGTGGAGCATCAGAGACCTCCTGCTGGGCCACCAGGCTTGCAGACTTGTCCTGACTCCCTAGTTACAGGAGACAAATACACCAGGCTGGCCTCCTTTTTATGTTCCCTGGTGATGCTTTTTCAACTTTTCTCCAGCCCTTTGATTGGCAGTGTCTGACCACCATTTGAAGTAGTTTGTACATGTCTGAAACTGGCTTGCCTCTTTCATTCTGGTCCCTTTCACTATTACCTTTGCCAGGGAGCAGCCTCATCCTTCAGAAAGCCCCCTGGTATGATTGCCACATAGCTTTGAAAGCCATATTTTGATCAGTAGATGTTCCAGAGCCTAGGGAGAGAGTTCAGCGTGACCTAGTCTTCATTCGTGTGTGTGTTTGTGTGTGTTGGTTTTTCTCCAGTCTAATAGTCATGCTTTTGACATCTCTTACTTCCAAATTCATTACTTTTACATAGAGCTATAGTTTCTAATGCCAAGAAAATAACAATCCGTGAATGTGTTCTTAGGATGATTACAAAAACAACAACAACAACGTTCTGTATTACTTTCTCTCTCTTTTTCAGAATTTTGTGCCATCTCTGGGCAGGCAGACTTCCCTGACGACATCGGTGCTGCCTAGTGCCGAGCAGGGTGCGACGTACACGGACTTTATTTATTTTACTGCCTTTGAAGGAAGCGTGCGCAATGTCTCTGAAGTCTCCGTGGAGTATTTATGCTCCCAGCCTTGTGTTGTCAATTTGGAAGCAGTTGTCTCATCCGAGTTCAGAAGTAGCATTCCTGTGTACAAAAAGAGGTGGAGGAACGAGAAACACCTTCACACCAGCAGAACACAAATAGTGCACGTGAAGTTCCCAAGCATTATGGTGTACAGAGATGACTACTTCATCAGACACCCTATCTCTGTGTCCACGGTGATTCTACGAGCCTGGATCACTCACAGGCACAGTGGTGGGGCCTTGAATGTCCGAGGGGAGGAGAATTTGCTGCATGCAGTAGCAAAGAATTACACCCTGCTGCAGACGGTCCCACCCTTTGAACGGCCTTTCAAAGACCATCAGGTGTGCCTGGAGTGGAACATGGACTATATTTGGAGCCTCTGGGCCAACAGGATCCCACAGTGTCCTCTGGAAAGTGGTAGGTCGCTTGCCTCATGGCAGAGCACATTCTTGGGTTTTCAGATTGCCAGTGTCATCGAATGACAGCAGGTGCAAATTCCTTTTATATTTTATGAGTGTGTGTGTGTGTGTGTGTGTGTGTGTGTGTGTGTGTGTGTGTGTGTGTCTGTGTCCCATAGACATCAGAGCACAATTTTGCATGAGTCATTTCTCTCTTTCTACCATGTGGGTCTGAAGGGTTGAACTTAAGTCATTAGACTTGGCAGCAGCCACCTTTACCCACTGAGCTATCCTGCCGGGGCCCCAAAAGCAAGTTCTTAAGTTAGCATCAGTAAGACAGGGAAAATGGAGAGGTCTATTGTGTCTGTCGTTTTGAATTTGGGAACAAAAGGGAATGAATAAAAAAATAAAAGAGAGGAGAAAGATTAAGGGAGAATAGGGAGAAAGATGAAAGACAGAAAAGAATTGAGGGACCGTGGGGGGAGTAGAGGGAACCTTTGAGAGCTTTCGAGCTGCTTAGAAACAATAATGCCGCTGAAACAAAGACTGGCTCCCCAGAAAGCAGCACAGCTTCTGTTATTTATAAGAAAAAACGTTTTAGCCTGGAGGAGGTGAGAGAGACCCCCAAAAGCAATCCTGTGCCAGATAGGGAGGTTCTGCCTCAGGGTAGTAACTTGTGGCTGGGGCCATCCTGGTCTGCTGTTTCTGAGTGTGTAGCCAGAACTTGCCTAGCCTCTATTTCTTTACCTATAAAATAGGCTAATGGATCCTTCCCTCAGAATGAAGTGATAAGTGTTGAGTGAGCTGCAGTTGTTTAGCATGGCACCAGCCCTCAGCACCAAGCTGCCACACTGATGGGAGAGTCTAAGTTCTGCATTTTATCCTAAATGCCATGTGTAACAGCCCACACAGAGCACACAGAGGCTCCTGGGTCATTCCTCAGCCCCCTCCACATCAGGACTGGTCTAAAATGTTCCTCGTTCACCCAGGATTGGGGATGGAGTAGACCCAGCATTTGAAATGGATTCTGTTGCACCCACAAATTTCAATCTCTGGGCAAGGGAGTGGGACTGTGAATAGGACTTTGATCTTGTTTTGACCGTGACCCAACCCCCAGGCTGGCTTGGCAGGTGCATAAGTTCCATAGCCCATGACAGCAGGCTTTTCCACAGTCTCTTCCTGACACCTAGTCTTCTCCAGATCTCTGTGGGAGAAGGTGACTTAAGGACACGATTCCATGCTCTTCCTCTAGTGACATGCTTTTCCTCACCTTTGAGATACGATTTCTGGGGAAACAGTGGTTGGGGTAGTTTCTTGGTAAGTTTCCAAAGTGGCTTCATGTATAATAAAAATGTGTGTGTGTGTGTGTGTGTGTGTGTGTGTGTGTGTGTGTGTGTGTGTGTGTTGTGGCTTTATAGGTCCTCAGTTCTTGTTGCATGCATTAAACAGTTGGCATCTTGAAAACTCTCTATTTGACTCTAATTGTAGAGTTACAGGGAATTGTAAAAATGGCAGAGAAAGGCCTTCGTGCCATGGCTCAGCTTCTCCTACTGGTGCCGCATTCTGTAATCACAGCACAGAATCAAAACTAGGGGACCAGTGTGACTGAATATTGTTGTTAACTGTAGACTGAATTGTGTGTGTGTATGTGTGTGTGTGTGTGTATGTGAGCACATTGTGGGAAGAGCTGGGTAATTAGATATCTGGAATATGGGAGCTGTGTGCCCCTTGGTAGTGGGTGAGCCACCTTCCTCCAGGCAGAGCCCTATGCTAGTACCTATGTGGAGTGCCTTCTACAGGGATTCCTAATTTATCAAGCAGAAGGGAGTACAGGGCACGCATAGCCACAGTTTTGCTTTGCCACTGACTTTATCAGGGCTTAATGATTCCATTTCATGTTTTGCAAATGTATATACTTCTCATTGAAAAATGACCAAATTGCAAGTGGGACGTCTTGAAATGAAATCATTTATAAACTGGCTCATTCTCAGGGTGCCCTGAAAATGGGAGCCGCCTTTCTTTCTTCCGTTGTTCCCTGCCCTGTTTGCAAGGCCCAGGAATGGCACAGTGGGAATTTTCTACCCGCCTTCTTCAGAACATTACTTTTGGTGTGAGAACCAATCTAATCAAATCATAGCACAGAGGAAAACCTTTCTTAGGAGTCGAAAAATCACTGAACACCGAGGCGGGAGTTCCTTGCACTCTCAAACCAGCCCTGCACCTGTAGCTATGATTTGTTTACCAAAACGAGACCATTTTCCCCCTCTCCTTAAAAGAGAAGTCACCTGAGTGAGAGAGCAGCGGGCTGTGGGAGGTGCTTTAACCTTTGTTCTGGATGGGGCTTGGGGGGGGGCACGGGGTGTGAGGAAGGCGGGGGACAGGCAGGGGCTGGGTGGGGGCCAGGCAGGGACTGGGCTGAGGCCTTGTTCTTAGGAGGGCCCTTCTTGTTTCATTGCCAGACAACAGTCAGTTGAAACACAAGAGAGTATTAGGAGACCAAACTGAGCTTCAGGGGCACCTGCTAGGTCTGGGCCTCTATAAACTGCAGCCCCCATTGATTCAGGGCTTGGGAAACATTTTCTGTGCCAAGCATTGCATGTCCTTTATGGTCCTGTCTCTGAACTTCAGTACCCCTATCTGGATTCATCTTTTTTTGCTGTTTGTGAAGTCTCAAACTCCCCTGTGCCTGAGTTTTCCAGGAGAATGGTTGAAGTCCTGGCTGCTGCTAGCTTAGCTTCTGCTCTGGGGTAGTACTGGCAGACTGTTGATGGACTGCTGGCAGGTTCTTACCAGGCTCTGCTGAGTAAGGCCAGCCCAGATCAAAAGTCAACAGCCTTCAGATACATTGTGCCAAGACACAAACACATGTCCTTCTACATACCTGTCCCTGCTATGTTCCGGCCATGGAGCCATAGGTGGCTGGGCAAACATTGCCTGAGCAAGCACTCTTGTCTGTTTCCTTGAGGAAGGAATGAGCACTATCCCTTAAGTCCCCTGTGTGTCTGACTCATTCCTGAACTCACTGCAAGGATTAACCACATGGGGTGGGGATAGGGTGAAGGGTTGACATTCAGTCTAACCTGGGCCACCTCAGACCTTCTTTCTGTCACAACCTAAGGAGAGATTCTGCCAGCTCTGTTGACTACCGCTTCTTCTACATATGTCATGTGTTCAACCTCTCCTTGCCACGTGTACTGGCAAACTGGACTAAGTCCCCACCCTCCTGGACTCTGGCCACAGCCTAGTGGTGGCTTTCTAGCTTTGCCCTTGCTCTTCTCTCTCCAGGCAGCCTGTGCAGTACAGGCTGTTCACACCATGCCCCTGTAGGCCCCCTCATTCTGCCCTTGGGATCAAGCCACACTGTTGTGTAGCATTTGCTGGCTCTGTCTACTGGCATGCTTTTGTCCAGCCACATGAGCCTGCTTGCTTCTCCCTAAACAGACCATGTTCAGTCCCACTTTGGGACATTGGAATGACAGTTGCCACCTAAAATGCTCATTTCCCAGATCTCTGTTCAGCTTGCTTCTTTACCTCCTTCATACCCCCGCTCAAATGCCCACTTCCTTGACCACTTGGTCTGAGCTAGTGGCCTTGCCTGGCATTATCTCCTCAGTCTCCTCTATGGCCCACATCCACTAGACACTGTAATTAAATAGCCATATTTTCTGGTTTCCTGTAGACTATGATCATGCGGGCTCCTTATGCTGCCCTCCAGTGAGGAACACACTTTGACAACACCTTGATGCCCTAACCCCTGTGGAGGGTGAGGAAGTGTGGAGCTGGCCCTGAGCCTCCCTTTGGCCCTCTGCAGACAGGCCCACAAGGCTGTAGTTTCCCAGGTGGCCTATGAGAGCCACACCCACTCAGGCTGCAGACTCGCATCACTTTTCTTGCAAACACATGTGACTAAGTTCTGCCCTAGTAG